CGTCTAATAATTCCAAAAAAAAAAAAAAAAAAAAAAAAAAAGCGTACTCAAAAATCTTTAGCGGAGGGGGATGTGTCCGCAAATATGTGTGAGGGGTTGGCTCCCTCACTTTTCGTCGCAAAATCAACCGGTATTCTATCTTTGCCCACAAACATCTGAATTACTACTACTACTAATACTAATAATAATAATATTAATATTAGTTTTCGGCACAATAAAAATACATTAAAACTCAATAGAGTTTTATTTTCTATGGAACATCACAGCGATTATTAGATGTGCATGAATTTTACCCTATAAAACTGTCATGTCTGGCAATCTAAAGGTATTTCCCCAAATGTTCCCGTAGGCCGAAAGTAAATACATCAAAGACAATTTTTTTAATTTTTATTTTCTAAGTACATCACATATATTAATTAGATTTGGTTGCCATAAATCGCTGGTAAAACATCATTTTGACTACTAGTATATGTGATGACGATGAATTTTATTATAGGCCTATAGAGTGTATATTTCCGATCGTCTACAGCTAACTATTTCCTAACATTTTTGAACCTCAGGCCTAACCATGGTGGGCCTGAGGTGGGTGTGTACTCACGAAATGTTCCATTCACCTTTACAAACATATCTGCACCCTTGCAAAAGCCACACCTTCCCCACCCCCTCTTGGTGCTTCGCAAATCGCATTATCCACCCCCATTCCTAAATCCTAGATCCGCAACTGAGCGAATGTAATTAAGCACTAGCCACTAATCTTGGTGATATAATATTATGACACCATGCCAGACTAGTTGTCATGAGGTTGTGGGTTCGATTCCCACTTGTTTCTGATAGTTTAACTGTCAGCGTAATTAGCTAATTTTCCAAGTTTGATTGGTTCAGGATGGTGTTTTAATAAGTTTGATAAAATTGTAAAGCTAAACAAAACAAATTAACTCAAATTACAATACAGTACAACCAAAATAACGATTTAGAATTTAATCATTATTCCTGAATAGATAAATCACATGATTCGTGAAGTAACATCATCTCACTATTCAGGTCCATCAAGTCAATGGAATGATGCATTACATTCTGACATCATTCACTACAATAAGCATCTCATATAATTTCTTTTAACTTTATGTAAAAACAAAAGATCTACATAGGTATGGGGCTTGTCTGTATATACACTCAGTACAATACTGTACTACTGTAGCTAAGAATTTCAATACTAAAAATATGTCATTCAAATATTTGCCCACAACTCAAAGGGATGGCATGAACAGAAATAGTTTTCATGCTAATGTTAAGTGTTTGGTTATACTGTATGCTTAAAACTGATTTATGTTTTTTTTTTAGATAAGTGTTTCCCTCCAAAACTTGCATGAAAAGAGTACAGAACCGCAGAAGGTCTGACTCTCGTGGTTTCGTTGGAATTTAATCCTATTTAAAACACGTACAGCCACGAAGGGACGTGTCCTTAAAAGACGAGTTTCGACCAAACTCTATTCAAATTCTAATAGTGCGCCCTCTATCAACGTTTCATTGCCTGCATACAAAATCAGGACAGTCAGACCACTTGCAATTACATCAATGTATTTGGCTTCGATGTTCTGTCACCACATCAGCCTTTTAAGCTCTGGCATTCGCATTCTTTATACTATTAAATGAAAGTTAGCAAACTTACAATAAATATGGTGGCACTCAAAAAATGCTCTTGAAAAAAATAGAATATGAAGACCATACATACATTGGAACTGACGTTCTAAATATTGAAATCCACGAATATAATTAACTCCAATGTAGTACCATATGCCATTGTCATTAATATTATTGTCATCATTAGTATTATAATTATTAACACTATTATCCTAATAGTAATGAAACAGTTAATAACATTGAAGTATTCAAAATAATTATTCATTCATTAGAGTGTCATTCCTTTTAACCTTTAAACATTGTCACTGCTATAAATTGTATATAATAAAAATAACAACAACAATAACAATAAAAATAATATTAATAACAATATGAGCAGTGGTGGCTCCAGTAATTTGCTGGCAGGGGGTTTGACATGTCCAACAGTGGGGGGGAGGTCTGAACCAAGAGGAGGGGAAGAGTTTTTATGGTTAGTAATTGTGACCCAAAATTGTGCCTTTATACCACAAAATCAGGAATTGGCAATCAAAATAACATTATTTAAATAAGCAAATTAATAACTTTTGTGGGAGGGTGTAGGGATATTGAACTAATGATCACCACTAGTGCCACCACTGAAACTTAGGTGAACAAACATTACCAGATAAGGCCACTGTTAGAGCATATAATCCACTAGGAATCTGAATTAATGTGGATAATGTTATATTAGATACAGATTTGTGCCATGGAGGTCTCACCACGAAATGAGACACATCATTGGTGAAATCATACTGAGATATTCACCAAAATAGGTCACAGTGAAATTTTTTTTTAAAGTCGGATTTTAATGATTGTATACTTTTAATGTGAATTTTCTTACTAAAACAGTGTACTCCATGCATGTTCTGTAATTCTAGTCCTATTATTTGTACAGGTTAGTTTATCTTAGGAGCTAATTTTCTCAAAACCTGGTTCTCATGCACCTAAAGTTTAAATGCTCACATCTCTGGATCTACTCATCTTAGGGAAGCCAAAGACCAAATCAAAGCTTATAATGTGATCTATCCACATACTGTATAATATAAACTAAATTTTTGATATTCCAACCCTGCGACTTATTTCTTGGAGAGACCTCACATGTTTGTGACAAATTTATAGGCATAGTAAAGAAAATTAAAAGAAACTCGGGAATATTTTCCTCCAGTTTCCATATGTTTAATTTTAATACATTGGGGGGGGGGGTTTACTTATTATATATTATATATTAACAAAATTAGTTTACAAGGAATCACATTTCGCTCAGGAAATACCAAGTTTTTCAACTTTTGTAACAGCTTTCTTATCATTTTGTAGTTTAGTCTTCCTTGTGCCGAATGAATAAAAAGAATTTTCAAACTTGTTAGCACATAAAGCAGACTTTTCAAGTTTGTAAAATGCATTTCCATTACTATGTCTTCAGATTTCCGTGGTAAATGAAACATTTCTGTGGCACCTAATAATTTACCTTGAGTGTTGTCGAGAGACAATGTAACCAAAGATCTTGATGGAAAAAGTCATTTGTTCTGGTGATAAATTTCTATAGAAACTAGAACTAACCACGGATGTTCTGTAGTACTTGCATAAACAAAATATATTTATGTTAAAATTCTATATTTATGTCATTGGTAGATAAATGTTATAATTACTGAGTGCATGAGCATATAAATAAAAATTGTCAATGAGTGACTTAACTGATTAATAACTCAATTTTTATCACATGCTCTAACTAAACAATACATCACAAGTACAAAATGTACTACTAAGAAACAGCCACCATCTACCAAGAAATATGAGCTACAAAGAATAGTTGGATGCGTCGATAATTACAAATGTTATGATACAAATCTAGATATTTCCCCTCAAAGGCCATGTGATATCTGAAAGCAACATATGATAACTTCGTAATTAAATCATCAGCCACAAGAGAATATTATAATTTTCAATGTTTCATGTTTTAATAAAAGAATGGATGCAATACCATCTTCCTTAGTTCAACAGATTGCGTATCTCCTTATGCATGTGACACAAGAAGTCAACGTAAGATGCTGTGGCATTTGACCCCTTGTCCTCTACTAAGAAATGACGGAACCATCCTTCCAGGG